AAAAAAAAGACAAATGACCCAATCAAAAAATGAGCAGAGTGTGAAAAGATATTTCTCCAAAGATATGCAGATGGGCAATAGAAGGTAAAAAGATGCTTGACAACATTAGTCACTAAAAAAAAAAAGAAAAACAAACCCACTGCTGCAGAATCGGTTCTGACTCATAGCACCCTATAGGCAGAGTAGAACTGCCCCATAGTGTTTCCAAGGAGCGCCTGGTGGATTCAAACTGCCAACCTTTCGGTTGCAGACATAGCTCTTAACCACTATGCCACCAGGGTTTCCAACATTAGTCACTAGAGAAATGCATATCAAAAGCACAGTGAGATATACTTCACACCCACTTAAAAAAAACCTAACCCATCCAGTCGATTCTGACTCATAGCGACCTTATAGGTCAGAGAAGAACTGCCCCATGGAGTTTCCAAGGAGTGGCTGGTTGATTCAAACTGCCAACTTTTTGGTTGGCAGCCATAGCTCACTATAGTTCTTAACCACTGCACCACCAAGGCTCCTCACACCCGCTAGGATGGCTATAATCAAAAAGACAGACAATACCAATATCACTGAATTGTATATGTAGAAATTGTTGAAGTGGTGTTATGTTTTGTTGTGTACATTTTCACCAAATAAATAAAAATAAAATAATTAAATTTAGACGAGAGATAACAAGTATTGGTGAGGATGTGTAGGAACTAGAACCCTCATACACTGCTGGTGGAAATGTAAAATGATGCAGCCACTCTGGAAAACAGTTCCCCTAAAGGTTAAACATAAGAGTTACCATTTGAACCAGCAATTCCACTCCTAGCTATATACCCAACAAAAACGAAAATCTATGTCCACACAAAAATTTGTACACAAATGTTCACAACAGCAGCATTATCCATAATAGCTAAAAACTGGAAATCCAAATGTTCACCAACAGATGACTGGATAAAGAAAATGTGCTAGGATCCATACAATGGAGTATCACTGAGCCATAAAAAGGAATGAACTACTGATATAAGCTAAAATATGGATGAACTTTGAAAACGTTATGCTAAATAGAAGAAGCCAGTCACAAAGGACCACAGATTATATGATCCCATTTATATGAAATGTCCAGAAAATGCAAAGCTATAGAGACAGAAAGTAGATTACAAGTTGCCTAGGGCTAGGGGATGACTGTAAAACGGGTAGAAGGTTTCTTTTTGAGGAAATGAAATGTTCTAAAACTGATTTTGGTGATAGCTGCACAACTCTGTGAATATACTTAAAAAAACCACTAAATGGTACAGTTTAAATGAGTAGACTGTACTATATATGAATTATATTTCAATAAAGCTATTTTTTTAAAAGCGTAACTGGGATGTCTTCTGCCACAGTGTGCACTGACTGAATCAAGACCATAGTGTTCCTTAGGCCTGGGCACTTTGGCGACACCAAGTGACTTGTGGTGAGAAACTTCTGCAAAGAATTCTGAATCTTAAGAGGCTGTATCTCAAAAGGAAAATAAAATCTCCCAAATTTTTAGAGCTGGGATCAGGGCCAGGCTCTTAGTTAATAGTTGAGGATCCTGGAGCCTGAAAGAGAGAGGACTTCTGAAGGTGGCAAGTTATGGCCGGGCCAGGCTGGGAGTGCAGTGCTGCAGCACAGTGTGGCTGCACCTCCTTCTGCGTCCACGGATGTTATCTTTTCCTAGAAGGAGCCAGAGGCACCAAGAAAGAAGCCCAAGGACAGTGCTCCTCCTAGAATGGCCCCTACATTACCCCCACTGCAGCGACATGGAGAGGTAACCAGAGCACTTGGGGGCCGTTTGCCAGCGTCATGGGGGCTGGAGGCTACATGATCTCACTGAATTCTCAGAAGGCTCAGAGGCCAAACCGTGTCTACAGGCAGACCAGGCAGGGTCATGAGATCAGGCCCCAGGAGTACAACACTCCAGGCCAGGGTCTGTGCAAATACTCTGCATTTATCATTTCTAATCTTCATGTAACTCTGCAGGAAAGATGCTGTTATTCCCATTTACTGATGAGGACAGTGAGATTCAGAGAGGTCAAGTAACCTGCCCAAGGTCATGAGCTTCCATCTGCCTCCAATGCCTATGATTTTTCCATGTGAGAACCAGGCTAGTCCTAGTACTCTATGTTCCAGAAAAGATACAGGGCCACCTCTAAGGCCCTAACCAAAAGGTCACTTATACAGAGAGCCGGTACAATGGCTAGAGACCAAGGAGAGAACACTATCTGGAAAAGACCAAACTGCAGTTACTATATTTTCAAAAATCTGTCTTCACAGTATTTAGCATTTCCTTTAGCTTCACAGTGTTTAGCCAACTAAACCACCACTATTCAAAGCTTTACCCTGACTCATCTGACAGGGAATCACTCTGGGAAGTAGCATGAAATAGCAGGAACAGTGAGGCTTTGAAGCCAGATGGTCCTCAGGGTTCAGATTCTGGCGGCAACACTTTCTAGCTTGCGAGTCTGGAGATAACATCACCTACACACAAGGTGGTCGGGAGAGTAAATGAGATGACCCACCTAGAGTGCTTTGGACAGTTTCTGATTCAGAGTAAGCCCTCAATTAACATGAGCTCCCTTCCTCTAGAACTCTGGAGGTCTGAAGGAGAAGGAGGCTCAGCAGCTCCCCTCTAGGGGATGGACAAGTCAGATGTTACCAAAACTGTGCAAATGTTCCAGAAACCCATCATTTCACATCTAAACCAAATCTTGTTCTGAGAATGGGCTCTGGAGTCCAACTCCTTGGATTCAGATTCCAGCCCTGCTTCTGAGTTGTGTGACCTTGGCCATGTTACCCATACTCTTGGAGCCTTAGTTTTCTCTGAACAGTGAGAACAACAGTACTATCCTCATTAAATCGCTGTGAGATTACCAATGTGCCTGGTACTCCGTACACGTTTTCAATACATGTTGGCTGTTTTATCATTACTATTTTTGACATTATTATTATCACTACTACTATGACCAACTCTGCCACCAGGGCTTGGCATCAAAGTCCTCTTCTACAGCATACATCCCAATTGAGGTTACTCAGCTGACCTGCATAAAGGCCCATATGCGAGTGTACACCCTCCAGTTGGGTAACCAGTCTGGCAGCAGTGAGCACCCAAAACCTCAACAGCCCTGATCAAATCAACCTGGATGGTGCTGGGGCCAAATCTCCCAGGTTCCTGGCTTATGAGAGCTGTGTCCCCACTGGGCAGGTTCTGAGATCAAAGATCTATGTTTATCAAAGCCACCTTCCTGTGCACCTTATTTCCTGGGTAGGGTGTACACCTTGTTTCTTGAGTGGGGCAGAACAAAGAGAAGGTGATCTGAGTTGTAAGAAGCCTTGGTCTGGGGGTGAGAGAGTTGCCAGGCTTTGCTGACATCTGCTGGGCTGCGCTGGGCTATTTACTGAGGAAGGAGGGGCGCCTATTTGCAGAGCTCCCCAGCAGGGGGCACTATCTGTCCAGGCTGAGCCTTTTACCAGCTTTCACACTGAAGCCAGGGGCTGACCAAGCCAAGGAAAGTCCAACAAGCCCACAGGGTCTGTGCAGCAGGGAAGCCAGGCACAAGGCCCACATATCTGGTTTTCAGATGATGCCCAGGTAGCCACGCTCCAATCAGCACTCTGAGCCTGGACTCTCATCAATGGCCAGTCTGGCACCTGGTCCATGCTGCCTCCTTTCCAAGACTCAGGGCAGGCTAGTGGGTAGGCACAGGGCACCAGGTTTGCAGGAAACGCTTGTGGAGACAGTGGTCTTGACAAGACAGCATTACCACAAGTGACTACACAATGCTGCAACATGAACTTGAATCATGCATTCAAATCCTAATCCCAGTGAGAGCGGTCACCTGGCCGAGGGAGCAGGGTGGGTAGCCTGTTGCTGCTGCTGCTGCTGCTAGAAAAGGACACTGCTCACAGCACTCCAGGAGCTCCCTGTGGGGCCTGCTCTGAGCCAGCAGCACGGGCTTCTGGACCACCTCGATGGACACAAACAGCTCTAGCAAGAGCCAACTAAATCTTAGGTACGGCCCATCACCACTCAGAGGCAAGTCTAGGTGAATCAGCAGTTTGAGTTCCAAACTTGGTTTGCTTCAACTCTGTCCCGAGATGCTCACGGGCCTCAGGGTTTCTTTCCGGGATTCCCTCAGGGGCTGCTGCTCCTTACCACCCCTTCATGTCCCTAGGACTGCAGAGACCATTCAAACAGAACCACAGAAAACCAAAAGGGCAATAAGACTACCTAGCACGGAGAATGTTGACACTTGGACTTGAAAGATGGAAAGAGGCTGTGATCTCTGGGGCTCACAGCAGGACCAGAAAATTCCCCCATCCCAGCTCTGGGCCTGTCTTGGCAGGATAAGCACCATATGAGCATTCTCCTTCCAGGTACTCCGAGCCTAAACATCTACCCTTCTCAAAGATGGGTGGGAGGGCGGCAGGAAGGGTGGGCACGTGTGGCTTGGAGACGGCAGGGTAGAGGAACAGAAAGAATATAGTACTGGTCTTGTTATCAGAAAGATGTGAGCGACTAGGGGTAAGTTATTTTGCCATTCAGTTTCCTTATCTGAAAAATGAGGCCAATATCTACCTTCCGGAGCTCTTCTAAGGCTCAAAGAAGTTAACATATGTCACGTCACCAAGGCCAGCCCCTAAAATTTAGATTTCCTATTTAAAGACCCACCTTTCTCCTGGGGTCTGACCTTACTTTTGCACACCCCAATTGGAAGACTAAATCTTAATACCACACGGGAACCCCAGAGTCCACGCTAGAGGCCGTATCTTCAGTAACAGGGTGGCTGTTTTGCCTTTGGTTACTATAAAACTAATGAGGCTGGTACATAAACTATCTCTAAAGCAGGCAACTTTGGCATGTTTTCTCTCAAAATGAACATGATCCCCCTTCATCCTCATCCCCACAACATGACGATTTTATAGTGATCACACAGGAAAAAATCAGCCTCAGATGGAAGGTGGAAAAGTAAGCCCATGGCAGGCAAGCACCCTACCTGATGACGCAGTTGCCTCGGTTGGATGCAAAGATGACAATGGGGGCAATGGAAGATTCCAGGGCCCGGTGCAGGTAGGTGAAGCACTCAATGTCCAGCATGTGGACCTCATCAACAAACAGCACACCTGGAACCAGCTCGGCAACGCCCTGGTCAATGTACTTGTTCACAACCTTGTTAATCTCTCCTCGAAGTTTGTCTAGGAGATGGCAAGGACAGACAATGTCAGTACCAGGCAGGGGCAACTGTCACCTTTTCTCTTCTCCCCACCCCCCGAATTCAATCCAAACCCAAGTTTGGAGTCTGGTTTTACTATTAGCTGTGTGACCCCAGGCAGGTGACTTTACCCCAGACTTCAGTTTCATCACCTGAAAGCAGGGATAATCAGACCTATAGGTCACATAATGGCCGCCTCCCCTGAAGATGTGTTTTGTTGAGTTTGTAAAATGGTTTTTAGAATGGGAAGGTCTTCATTAGAGGCATGCACTCCCCAGTTTGTCTCACTCACCACCATACAGTATTCTCTCACACCCATCCAATTTAGCTCCCTGCCTGATCCCAGAGACACCAGAGTTAGGGAGCCCTGGATTAAATGAGCTTTCATATGCAAATTTTCCTGTTCTGCTCACAGTAAATGACCCTTTCTTTCAGCCCTGTGTGACAAAGCTTAGGTTAATTAACTTTCAATCAAGTGCCCAACTAAGAAATATAGTGCATTTAGAATCCTCTCTGGGAGGAAACATGAAGAATGAAAAGGTTCTGAAGGAAGGTCCAAACTCAGAGACCAAAGAGGGAGGAGTCTCTGAAAAGTTAAACAACCCATCTAAGGTCCCGGTTCTTATTTTCCAACCCAGCCCTCTGGCTGTATCAGGAGACAGCTGCTCACAAACCTAGAACATGAAAGATTTGATACAACACCCTCCACCAAAGTTAAGAGGCAGGGACGGCCAAAAAAGGATGCATGGTCAAAGACATGGCCGAGAGACAAAAACTGCTCTTGATGACTCTAATACAAAGGTCTCAGTTTGCGCCACTGGTTAAAAGTTCAAAGAAAGCAGTCGCTACTTAAAATTCGGAAGAGAAGCAGGGTAAAACAAAGGTCCACATGGGAGCAGCGACTTTTCTCAACGCATTCTGGGAAACTCCCAGAAAGCAAGCAGGGCCATCTGTGGAGCTGCCTGTGGTCTGCTGGGGAGGAGGGTGCAGCGAGCCAAGGAGCAGAACCTGCTGTGCTCCATCCGTCCGGTGTGCTCCAGCTCGGGAAGTCACCCTAGCAGAGCTAAGACTGCACAATCTACATTTCTGGGACCTCAAAGGGAAAGAGATTGTCACGACTTCCATTTCTGAAGGTCAGTGAAGGAGATCTGGTGCAGTCAAAGGAGCAGTGTAGTGCACTGAGTCAGAGAGCACTTGTGGTGTTTTATGGCTGTCTAAGCATAGCCAGGACCTATCAGGTTAGCATCAAGCTCTGAACTAAGAGGAAGAAGGGACTTGTTTTGAGGTTAGGTGGATTCACTCACAGAGCTTCACAGAGCATACCAGAATCCAGGGCCCCCAGCTCTGCTCCCTGCTGGCAGGCTGTGTAGTCTGTCTTACCTGTGATTTCTGTCTTCTTTGGCTTCATCAGCTGGCCCATCATGGACAGGATGTCTTGTCCTCCCTGCAGAAGAAAGACTTAGAGGAATGCTTCTCAAAGCAGCTGCCCATCCCCCAAGGGAGGGTGCCACACCCCTGTCCACTGGCCCCTAACTGCAAATCAACATGCAGTCCTGAGATATGGCTTATTCTTCTAAACCTCTTGATAGCCAGACAGACCTCCCTTAAAAAGTTCGAGGAGTTTCTAAAAGCAGAGACATTTTGAGAGGTTCCCCATTACCTGTAATAATCAAACAAAATTTAGTGTGCAATATAAGCTCTGTGGGACCTGCCCCTGCCTCCTTGTCCAGCCATATCTTTTTCCACTCCCTCCTTCCTTGATCTAGCCACAACTACTAACCATCTAAACTCCAGGCTCTTTTGTGACTCAGTATCTTTGCATATTCTATTCCAACTGCCAGCAACGCCATTCTCTTTTCTGGAAAGCTCCCATTCATCCATTAAAGTTCAGGTCAAATTCCCTTTGTGGAGCCCTCTCTGATGCATGACACTGGACTCTCCACCTCTACTGATGCTCCCTGGGACAAAGGGACTGTCAAAATACATGTAATGACCTGTTTGCGTGTTTCCTCTCTCTACACTCAGCTACAGAGCTGCGTGGGCCCAGCCCTGATCTGCACGGCTCAGGGTCTGGCGAGTCCACCATGTAGAACGGTGGCTCCATAACAGACCTTTCACTGCCTGCATCCTCCTTGCCAGCTCCTAACCCCACAGTCAGCACGAGGGAGAGGCTGGTGTTTTGTCATTTATTCAGCATTTAGCGGTCACCTGTTGGTTACCAGGCCCTATGACATAGAAGTGCTCACTAAACATTGAACAATAAAAGGTAGCAAGTGTTTACTGAGTACTTACAACATTTGATCCTCAAAACAGCCCTGCAAGGTAGGAATTATTGCATGCCTTTTCACAGAGGAGGAAACTCAGAATGAGAGTGCTCCAGATCACAAAAAAATCAGAGACCCAAAGTGACTAATTAGCCAAGCGGCACAAGTTCTGACTTCCCATTCCTAGTCGGGTACTGTTCCCAAATTCAGTCTGGGGACAGCCGTTCCACCTGCTGAGGGGACTCTTTGGTCCAAGATGAGTCAGCAGCAATCTCTTGACTAAGGCTCTGAGAGACAAAACAGCCAAGGATCAAATTTCAAGCAAAATACCCCCTCCCTTAAGGCCTTCTCGGAGGCCTTAAGGGGGTGTTCTGACCTTAGTGTAAGAGGCAGCCTCTTTTAAGATGAAGATGAAACCAAACTGAAAGACCACCAGCAGGGAATAATTGTTAGCTTTTACCAACACGTTTCCCAGAAATATCATTAAGTGGCAACACACTTCCCCATGTTTTACTAGTCAAGGCACAGTATCTAACAGAGCTTCTAATCAGTCTAAGGATCAGATACGGTTCTAGCTCATAAGCCAAAAAACTGGAGATTTGAGTAAGCAGGGGGAAAGATGAAGCTCTGTCAGGCTTTCTGAAATCCTGCAAAGGGCTCCTTCCCGCCATTAACACCAAAAGAATCCCAGGCACGAGCCCACAGCTGGAGAGGAGCCACAGAGAAAGCTGGCTAGCTCAGGGCCAGAGGCTTGGCTGGGATAAGAAACAATACCCGCGAAATCATCTGTGACTACAGCATTTGAATTGGAACAAAGGAGTCACTCGTAGCTCATGTCGATGTTAATTGCTCAACATTACAGACAGAAAAGGGCCGGTATGCCCCAAGATATGGTACCAAGACTCTGACAATTCATTCTCCGAGCTGAGATGCACATACAAAAGGGCTAATGCAAGGCTATCAAGGCATCAAGGCAGTACCTGGGGCCTCGCATTGGCCACATCCAAGTCATGCAAGGTCACATCCTGGATAATTTCTTTCTTCTTGTGCACATCCCCCTTTGGCAAGGGGACATACTCTTCGGCTTCAAGGTCGAATTCTGTGGCATAGGTATCACACCTGCCCTGCCTCTGCAAAAAGAGTGAAACATGAATTCCTGGTGTATGTTTGCTGCCAAGTCCCCAAATGGCACAGTGCTAAGCAAGATAAAGGTTTCAGTTCCCAATCGCTGGCCTGACAGCCTACTTGACAAACCCCAAATATGCCCCACTCCCCTGCTGCCAAGAGTAGCAGGCTATCTGCTCATCACTGGGCTCCAAAAACCCCACTGAAAACACTTGATACTTTCTCCAAGAACCTTTCCCCCCTCTTTATTTTAACTGTATGCAATTCCCGATAAAGGGCAAGCCAGTAGATTAACTGGAGACGGAGGGAGCTGTTCAGACTCTTTTGTAGGTGGGTGATTTATTGTATGATATGAAGTATTATGCTCATCCATTAAACTTGAGGAGCACTGTACAGGACACTGAAAATCAGATATAAAAAGAATGCCAACTAATGCAGCATTCCTTTCCACATGCATATATCTTAGGAAGAAAATACCAAAGAGATAAAAGGAAGATGAAATGCACTGCACATTTCAATTTGAAAATGACTAAAGTTGTTTTGGTTTCTCACCCTGTACTCCCCCCTTCGAAACAGGTTTTAGTATTTTTCTGAGAGACTGTTTTAATCATGAGAAGGTTAAAGAATGAAGATAAAGGGGAAGCAAACTTTATTAAACATAAAGGGGCAACCGCTGACCTTCCATCAACATTGCACCAGATGCCAGCCCTGCTCCCTACACACCCCTTGCCCTCTGAAGAAGCAACTTCATTTCCACCTACTTCTCCTTATGGCATCAAATTGGGGTGGTACTTTGTCCCAAGGAAGACATTACCTTCACGGCCCCACTGTTGGCTTCAATGTAAATCACATCGCCAGCCTCGACTCGCTCTTTCTGCAAACTTTCAAAAATGCTGGGGTCCAGCTAAAAAAAAAAAAAAGTGTATCAGAGAACTGTAATACATAGTACATTTGTTTCTGAAAGGTACCCTTATCTATTTCTGTAAGGTATTTCAGGTAGCTAATGACTCTAAGAGAGCCCTGGTGGCACAGTGGTTAAGAGCTGGGCTGCTAACCAAAAGGCTGGCAGTTCAAATCCACCAGGCGCTCCTTGGAAACCCTACGGGGCAGTTCTACTCTGTCCTATAGGGTCACTATGAGTCAGAATCAACTCAACAGCAATGGGTTTTCGGGTTTAATGACTAAGAGTGTGTGTGTGTGTGTGTGTGTGTGTGTGTGTGTGTGTGTGTGTTCAGTGTCAACGTGTGAGAGAAGGAGGGTGTGAATATAAATACGAGGAACTGGATCTGGGGGGTTGAGTGTACTAGAGAGAAAGTGGGGGAGTGAGCATGCCTGTGTGCCAGTGTGATGGGCAAAAGGGACGTCAGGGAGACTTGATCTCCTCCTTCCCTTTACTCCAGCGGCTGCAAACTGGCAACCTGGGTTTTTAAGAACATGGATCTGACTGCCTTTACCGGGAGCCTGCTCTCTCCATGAGAACAGAGTCCCTAACATTCCCATCAGAGATTGTTATCTCTACTTCACTCCTTCACCCTCCTCAGCTGGTTGAGTGGGAGTGGAACCTTTTGCAACCAAAGCACCTGCCAGAACCTGTGTACCAATCTCAAGGCTAGCACTTGGCAGGGCCTATAATTTTAGACAAAGCTCTCTAAGCCTCAGTTTCCTCATCCATGTAACAGGACACAGTCATGATCACAGATGTGTAAAACTCAAAGAGAAACATACACACCAGAATCTTTTCCAAGCCTTCTGATTCAAATTTCAGTGTTTGCTTCCTTCAGCCTGCCTGCTTATATCTCCAGGAAAAAATATTATCAGGTTTTGGGAACTGATGCTTTTCTCCGGACCATCCAGCTTCAATCTACTCTTGGTGACTGTTGAGTACCTAACCTGATATTCTAGGACAGCATCCTTTCTAAGGATTCAGTAGTTAGGCACAAATTTCTCCAGGTCAAACTTTAAGGATAGTTATATAATATAATGTGGTTGTGGTGGAAAAAACTTGAGTTTTGGTCCCAAACAAAATTAGTCAAAACCCGGGGCTCAGTAAAAGATATCAGACACATAAGAACACATACTGAATGATTCTATTTATATGAAATGTCCAAAAAAGGCAAATACATAGAGACAGAAAATAGATTAATGGCTGCCCAGGACTGTGGAGGGGGAAAAATGCGGAACACAGTTGTAAATGGGTGTGAGGTTTCTTTTTGGGGTGATGGAAAGGTTCTAGAAGTAGCTTGTGGTGATGGTTGTACAACTCTGTAAATACACAAAAATTCAACGAATTACACACTTAAAATGAGTGAATTTTATTTAAAATTATATCTCAATAAAGCTGTTAAAAACCACTGCCACCACCCCTGGGCTCTGCCTCTGACTGGCTGGGGTACTGGTGGGGCAATGGTGGCCTCCTGGCAGCACAGGAGTGTTAGGAGCAGTGGTCGGTAAGCACCTAAAGCAGGGCTTGGTACAAGGAAGGCACTCAAAAAGGATGGCAATTATTACTACTGCTGTTCTCCTTGCTAGCAGTCACGAGCTTCCCTCATACTTAAAAATCCATCGAGTGTTGGAGCTTTTTCTATTTAAAATCCTGCACATAAGCTAAAAGTGTCAAGCAGTACCCAATTTGGAAGAAAAAAAATCTTCTCCCTTATGTTATTTGCTTTAAAAAACTGCAAAGCAGCCTTAGGAATAGCTGACATTTAAATGACATACTTCATTTTATCTATCCTATACTATACTCTGTTGTTGTTTTTTTCTTTTTTCCTAAAGTCTTTTTGTATCGGTTAATTTCCCAAATGAATTGACTGAAGATGTGATTACTGGAAAGATGGCAGATCTCACTAAGAAATCTAATTAATACAGAATGGGAGAGATGGTAGGTATAATAAAAGAGATATTTGCAGAGGCAAGCTCCTGAGATGGAAACCCTGTTAGGAAAAAGAAAAATGGCCCTTTGGAGAAGTGACATTTTTATGATCTCCATAAAGCAGTGACCAAGAAACAACCTTAGAGAATCAAAGAACCATAAAATCGTAGAATAAAGATGAAGAAATTATATAGTCAATCTACCTCAGTTTATAGGTGAGAAAACTGAGTCCCAGAGAGCTGAACTGACTTGCCAAAGGTCACACAGCAAGGTGGCAGGCAGACAGCAACATGGTTAAGACCCAGAGAGACTTGCATTAGGATTCCAGCTCTGCCGTTTAACCAGCTATAGGATCCTGGGAAAACTGCTTAACCTCTCTAGGAGCCTTAGCTACTTTATCTGCAAAATGATGAAAATTACATACGCACATAAATTTATAAATAATACGAGTAACAATAAGTGAGATATTTGTTAAAACACTTAGCTAAGAGCCTGGCACATACTATAAATGATAGCTATAACGGCAATATCATTTATTAATAATAAGGCAAGGACTACAATCCAGATTGCCTTTCTCTAATTTAAGGCTCTTACAGTAACATTAACAGCTACCACTTATTAGGTAACTAAGCCACACTCAAAAGCTATAACTCTAATCCTTATAATAATTCTGTGAGATAGGCAATTATTATTCCCACTTAACAGATAAAATATTGCTCAGAGACTAAGTCACTTGCCCAAGGCCACACTGCTATAGGCAGCAGAGCCAGGATTCCCTGTAGGATTCTGTCTGACCTTCTACTGCCTGCATCCTAAAGGTTTACAGGATGTGTGTCTGAGGAGGATCCTCAAAGGCTTCCCCACATCATCACCTCTACGGCCTCGCTAAGCCCTGGCCCACTGCAGAATGAACCACTGAAGCCACAACAGGTCTCTAGTCCCTGGCATGTAAAGAAACTGCAGTCAGGATTCTGCATCTGGCCCCTTGAGGAAGTCCATCCGTCATCCATTATACAACTCTTACCACATTACTCAATGCTGTTTCCTTCTGTGAAGATAAGCACTGATAACTGGAAAAATTAATGCCCAGGTTCAAAAAGAGACCCAGGGCCTCTGACACGTGGTTATAAAGGAATATGGGATGGCAGAAGGTCACCTCTTGAGACTTAACCACACAGCTTAACTCTTAAAATACAAAATTTCTTAAGAGCGAATAAGAAAAGTAAGAGCTATCTTTATCGAGTCCTCCCATGTACTAACTCTATACTTGGTACTGCGTCATATACGTCATACTTCTAAACCTCAGATGGCCCCATGAGATATCATCACCTGCACTGCATGATGAGGAAGGTGAGACACTGAGCCGTTTCACCATCTGCCCAAAGGCCCACAGTGCTGAGGGGTTCTGAGAAAAGAGAAGAGCCCACTAACTTGTACTCACTTTCAACTGCTTGGTGCCTTTGGCGGTTTTGAGTCCTATGATTACATGGCTAATAGTTTTGCCATATCCCCCCATGGGGTTCTCTGTCTCACATGGAGTTAGCTCTGTGACTTCACCTTCATAAACTTCCTTGGTCTCCTTTATCCGCAGCCCTGGAAAAGATGGCAGATGGACCAGTGAGAAACAGAATCCTCTCTCACACATTCTCTGTCTCTGTCTGTCTCTCTGTCTGTCTGTCTCTCTCTCTCTGGTTCACTCTGTAACAATCGTTTTAGTTACAAAACTTCCATGTCACAGAAATTGACAAGTCAGCCTTAAAGTACTTTCAAGGGTGTCACTGTAGGTACAAAAACACTACAAATACACAAATGCAAACTGGAAGTACTATTCAGAAACGCAGAAAAACAATTGTATTTCAATATTTTAAAAGGACTTTCTGGGTTCAAACTAAACAAGGAAGCTATAATTTTCAACATTGTTTCAGACATCTCCTACGCCTCCAAGGGGGTGAAATTCAGCTTTCCAGTCTCTGCACCCAAATCGTTCTACCCCACTAGGGCGGTGATGACCAAAACTCTTATACCCTTGTGCCCGGCATTTTTTTACCAATGGAGTAACTTATATTTCCTGACCCTTTCAGGTCTGAGGCAAGGTCTACTATAATAACAGGTCCTGCCAAGGTTTCTGTGCCTCTGGCTGACCCTCACTGCACACTCCAACAAAAAATACCCAGTTGTCACTCATTGTCTGCAGCAAGTTGTTCTGTGATTTTTCCAAGGCCAGAACAATAGAACCTATTTCCAAAGCAACCGCCACATAATAAAAGCATTTACATTTAAGATTAGAATATTATAAACGAAGGCAAACATCACTGATATTGGCTGTTCAACAAATGTTTGTTGATTATCTAAGACTTGTCAAATTTTCAGGACGTGCTCTCCATCCCTTTTTATAGTGTTTTTGCTGCCTGAAGCACCTTTCCCTCCTTTTTTGCCTATACAACTCCTCCTTCCAGACTCTCAGTTCAAAACTCTTTTCCTCTAGAAAGCTTTCCCTGACATCCTTTCCCTGATACATCCTTCTTCCTCATCCTCCAAATCTGCTCCCATAGCAACCTGCACTTCCCACTAGCACAGAGCCAGCAGAGGCACTGTCACTACTTGTAGAACTTGTAGTCTACTCTGAGGCTGTGGACACTTCAGCTGAGGGCCTAGGGCATAGGAGGCGCACACAAATGGATGAATGAAGTCACTTAGGGGTAGGGAGATGTCATCGGGCAGACCGTTCAATACCCAAGAAAACTGCCTGCAGATACTTTTGCAAATTTATATAATAGCTGGAGATTTTTAAGGATGCTACCATATGATGTAATAGCCCATGTCAACATAACACCCTCAAGCTCCGCACTAAAACCCAAGCACTTTCTGGATCAAACCTTTTTTCTCCTCAAAGTCAATGCAGGCAAGTCTCTGCCTGCTGGACTGGAGACGGTGAGCAGTGATTAGGAGGAGCATAAGGAGCTTCTTAGTTCTAACGTCTGTTTCTTGATCTGGGTGCTGGTTACCTGAGTGTATTCACTTTATGAAATCTCATCAAGCTTTACACTTATGACTTATGCTCTTTTCTGCATGTCATGTGTATATGTATGCACGCTTCACTTCAATAAAATTTACATTACAATGAGAGAAAGGAAATTGAATTTTTCTAACAAAGCAGTGACAATCGTTAGTAGCAGAACGTTTTCTTGAATAGAAAGACAAAAGCACATCATTGAACATCGCTTCTCTGAAAACACACATAATACACACATACTCGAGCACTTACTCACAAACTCTCTGTAATTCCCAAAGTCTGAGTCAAGGAGTACAGATGGCTTTCTCTGAAATAACAGCCATACCACAGATAAATTAACAGCTATTAAATCTATTTTTAGAGGATTCTAGAAATACCAACAAAAAAGCCATTCTAAGTCACTGTGCCTATCATCAATTCAAAGGTGAGGAGGGAAACATTCTTGGGTCACAGTAGCTGACGATGTATACAGGAGGGGCCTCTAATTTTCCAGGAAAGCTGACAGAACACATCAATAGGAATAAACTACAAGCTTATGGCTGCAGCAGCCTGCCCACCTGTATGAGAAGCTCTCTCACCCAGTCAATAGAGTGCTTTCACATACAACGTAGCTCATTCCATCGCACCCACTGGAACGCTTAGGACAGTATAATCACATTTCAACTCAGCCCTGTGAAACAGCCAGGATGAGTACTGTTTTTCCATTTACAGGCAGGGAGATCAGCTCAGGAAGTGAAACGAGGTGTCATTTCCTCCTTCACAGTAGACTCAGGAATGAGAGTCCAAGCCTCTAGTTCCCACCGTACCACAGGACCTTGCCTCTCTGTAGCCTTTTCCATAATAGCTGCTCTGTCCTTTTCCCCAGTCCAGTCAACATGTGTTCCTTGGCCTCAGCATTCCCTCATTCTGCCAGCTAGTAATCTTCATCTAAATTTATATTTTACCCAAAGGGGAAAAAGAAGACAGAAATGTAAAGGAAATCCATAGATTAAAAAAATACGAGACTACCAGATGTAGAAAAATCATACTGGATCCAAGCCTCACACCCTACACAAAAACAAATTCAAAATGTATTAAGGACCTAAATGTGCAAGTTAAAACCATAATATTCTTAGAAGAAAATGCAGGGGCAACACCGTCAGGCCTAGCTTTTAATGATGGATTATCTAATATAATAAAAGCACAAACATCAAAAGACTAATACATGGCACCTCATAAAAATTAAAAACTTTTGTTCATCAAAATACTTTACCAAAAAAGTGAAAAGACAAGCTACCAACTGGAAGACTATCTTCAGAAAATATATACCTCATAAGAATCTAATAAGCAAAATATATATAAAACTTTGACAACTTAACAACAAAAAGACAAATAATCCAATCATAAAATGGGCAAAGGACCTGAATAGACATTTCAACAAAGAACATACAAATGGCCACCAAACACATGAAAAGATGCTCATCGTCATTACTGTCAGAGATACAAATCAAAACTACAAGGAGATACCATTTCACTCCCACTAGGATGGCTAAGATTTAAAAAAAAAGAAAATAACAAATGGCGAGATGTGGCAAAACTGGAACACTTATCCATTGCTGGTGGGAATGCAAAATGGTACAGCTGTGGTAGAAAACTGTGTAGAGGTTCCTCAAAAAAATAAAAATAGAACTACCATATACCCAGCAATTCCACTTCTAGGTATATACCCAAAAGAAAGAAAAAAGACTCAAACAGAGACTCATACACCAATGTTCACTGCAGCACTATTCACAACAGCCAAAAGGTGGAAACAACCGAAATGCCAATCAACAGATAAATGTATAAACACAATGTGGTATATACATACAATGGAATACTACTCAGCCAGTAGGAGAAACGAAGTCTTGATACGTGCTACAATATGGATGGAGCTGGAAGACGTCATGCTGAGTGAAATAAGTCAATCACAAAAGGACAAACAGTGCATGGCCTCACTTATATAAAAAGACGAGAAAAGGCAAATGTATAGAGACCAAAGTTTATTAGTGGTTATCAGGGGCAGGAGGGAAGGGGAAAGGGCGGTTATTGCTTACGGAGTACTGAGTTTCAATTTACAGTGATGGAAAAATCACTTTGATTAAAGGTGCAGTTGCATAGCTGATTATTTTAAGTGCTATCAATAAGTTGTATACCCGTAAAAAGTTGAAATGGCCAAAGCTGTGTGATAGATATATTTACAGTAACAACAAAAAAGTAGCCGCTGAGGCTGCTTATGTATAACGAAACACCTGATGGGGTTTGGTTCCTCAGTTTTGAGGTGTAGGGTCATGGTTCATGGGGCATCCTAGTTAAGAGGCCTAATAACGTGTTTAGTGCTTCTGTTTTACCTCCTAGTTCATTATGTAGTTCCTGGGGTCTTAAAAGTTTGCAAGTGGCCATTCAAGGCACAAAAATTGGTTTCTGTTTGCCTGGAGCAACAGAGGAAGAAGGAGAGTCAGGAACAGGAGGAGGAAATGGAATGCGTTGACTAATCGCCTCCATGAACAACTGCCTCCTTTGCCATGACCCCAGAAGAGCTGGATGGTGCCCGACTAACATTACTGAACATTTTGATCAAAGATTCTATAGAAGAATCCTGATCAAAAGGGGGAAAATGCAGAAGCGTATTTCAAGTTCTCATGGACTCCAAACTTTCTGGAGCCATAGAGGCTAGATGAACCCCTGAATCCACTGCTCTGAGATAATCTTCAAACCTTAAACCAAAAATATCCTGAGTTAAAACCAAACAATAGTTTACCTTAATAGTAAAGAATGTCTTCCTTGAGCATTGTGCTTGTTTAAGACCTATCTATATGAGATCAAAGTGACAATAGAAACTTGAAAGATTAGATAGGAACCTTAGGGGGCAGTGAGTTTATGTCAGTGCGGGAAGAACAATTCAGAAAAGGAGGGTAAGAATGGATGCACAACTCAAGGAATGTAATCAGTGTCATTGAATTGTACATATAGAAACTGCTGAAATGGTGTACATTTTGCTGTGTATATTCTCAACAAAAAGTAAAATTAAAAAAAAGCAGGTATGAGACTAATTAGCCAATACAGTTATTAGATCCTTTTTGAATCCTGATTGAAACAGTAAAATTATTAAAAAAAAAATACATTTCAACTTATAAGACAACTCAAAATCTGAACACTAGATATTTGACAATATTAAGAAATTACTGTTCATTTTACTAGGTGCGATAATGGTATTGTGGTTACTTTCTTTAAAGTCTTTGTTTTTGAGAAATACATTCTGAAATATCTACTGATAAAAAAGCAGTTATTGTAATTCATTTCAGTATAACTTGGGAAGGGGAAATGATAGGGCTGTAGATGAATCTGAATCCCTGGGAGGTATAAACAGTTAAACACTCGGCTGCAAACTGAAGGGCTGGTGGTTCAAGTTGACCCAGTGGAACCTCAGAAGAGAATCTACTTCCAAAAAATCCGCCACTGAAATCCCTATGGAGCTTAGTTCTACTGTGACACACATGGAGTCATCATGAGTTGGAATCAACTCAACAGCAACTGTTTTTTTTTTTTTAAAAACAGATAAATC